CCTGGCCTCCCCTCCCCTCCCCTCGCCGGTGCTCGGCCGCTGCGATGTGGTGAGGGGCTGCGTCCCAGCCAGCCCCTCGTCCTGCCCAGTGCCGCGGGGACGCTTGCCCGGGCCTCAGGGACACGGAGCCTCCAGCCAAAAGCAGGTGGGGATCCCGGGCCGTATGGACGTGCAGTTCCGCTTGCGCCCACTGACACCGCTGCCGCGGCACTGCCGTGCACCGGGCAGCAGGCGCGGTCCTTGTGCCACCACAAGCATCTCCGGGACCAGGCTGCTTCCCCAGGGCGCCGGGAAGAGGCCGTGGGGTAAGCCGCCCTGCCGCTGGCAGGAGGGGCGAGGCAGGAAGACACCGGCGTTACACCGGCGTTACACCGGCGCTTTGGCAGGAGGCGCTGCCGATGCTCCGCAGCCCTAACAGCTCCCTCCGCCCACCCATGGCAGCAGCAAGCAGCACCATGTCTGGCATCTTCAGGCATGGGTTTTCTACGGTGCACACGAGAAAGGGCTTCCCCTTGTGCGGTGCCGCAGGGCAGTGGCTCTCCCAGGCAGTGCCCAGGCACCTGCAGCAGCATCACAGCCCCAGTCACCCAGCCTCACCACCCACGGGCACCCACACGCGTGGCAGGGATTTAGCTGGCGCTCCCCTGCGCCCCAATGCAGACCTCAGCTGCCCCCACCCACCAGGTCAGTCATCACTGGAAAGAAAGTTGCAGGTTGTTGTTCCAGCATCCATGAAAAAACCCTGTTTTTCTAAGGAAAATTCAGTTTGTGGCCCTTGCGTCAGGATGGTTCATTAGCGCATCAGCCTTGCAACTTGGCTGTTGGTTTGATCTCAATCAACCAATATCGCAGCCTAATCCACCGAAGCTTGTAATAGGCTTAGGAATAACAGGGGTTCACGTCCTCATTAGTGTTCCGTTCACTGCAGCGGGGGAAACATCCTTGGCTGCATCCTGTTGAAGAAGAGGGGAGCCTGAGGCAGGGTGGCTGGGGCGCATCTGGAGAAGAGCCATGTCAGGGGGGGAAAACACAGTAAATCCGGGAGATGGGGAGAATTTACAATGGGGTAGGGAAGGGCAGGGAGTACTGAGACACAGCGCCTCCATGCACATCCCAGCTCCAGGGGGGCTACAAGAGCCCCTCGTGGAGCTGTGCTGGATGGGCTGTGGTTCAGGGTGGGTAGGCTGGGGAGCAGGGGGATCCCAGTGCCTACACCACAGCCAGGCTGGGCACTGCTGGCACCCCTTGTGCAGCTTCTACGTAGCTCCCAAAACCACACAATGTTAACAGCAGGATGGATTCACACTGAAGATGGGGCTTCTCTGCTGGCCCAGCCCTTGGTCCCAGTACTGCCGGAGTCACGCGCAGTCTCCAACCCTCCTGGGGAGCCAAACACACTCCCACCCTGCAGGAAACCTAATGAGGCTGGGCAAGGTCCCACAGTCCCTTGGCAGAAATGTGAGTGGCAGCTTTGGAGCTGCACACTGCTTATGACAGCGTGGGCCCTCTGCACAGCAAGGAGGAGGTCAGAGATGTGTTGACCCCTGAGCACAGCAGGTCTGGGGACCTCAAGGAGGTCCAGCTGCCACTGCCGGGGTGGTGCCCTCTGCATCAGCTGTGGAGAGGACTGTGGCATCCCACATGCTGCAGCACTGAATCCTGGTGTCACCAGTGCTTTGCCTCTGCCTGTCCCATGTTCCTGTGCTCCCCTGCCAACCATGACCACCAACTGGCTCTCACCTGGCTTCGGTTCCACTGATGATGACAGATGGTCCCCTATCAATTATCATTAGTGTAAATGAGGGGGTGGGAAGAGCACGTGCTGCTCGCTGATTTGGGGTTTGACTGCAAGCAGGCTCCCACTCCCAGGATGGAAAGCAACCACAAAGCAGGGCCTGCAACACGGCCAGCAGGTCCCCAGAGCACCTTGCACCATCCTCACAGCTGGTGGGTCTCTGTACAGGGCTGGTGCCTCCCACCACCATCAGCCACACAGAAGCCAAGGCCAGGCTTCTGCACCACCCGGGCAACAGCAGAGTGGGCAGAGGCAACCTGGGCTGAGCAAATGTTTCAGGTTCATCATGGGAAACACCAAGCAAGCCCTAGAGCGGTGCTAGCACAGCTCAGCACATGCTGGAGAGAAATTGCCATGGTTGGTGCTTACACCTGGTGGGTGTGGATTTCCAAGCCTCTGGAGAAGCTGACACTATAATTTATAAACTCCATAGGATTCCTGAACATCGGTAATCTGCTATGATTAACTCCTCAGACACCGCAAAATGCCTCCGGCTTGGCTGGTCCAGCACCAGCACTGACGGGGCCGTGGCTATGCCAGCTCTGTGTGTGTGGTGCCCCAGAGGGATTTACATTCTCCCCCTCCAGGCCCTTGCACACCCGCCCGAGCCATCCGGGCACATCAGACTTACACTGACAGGCAGAGCAGCCCCAGCCCCCCTCACAGCTTACCCAGAAAACCTCGTCTAATAAAGGGCAGTGCAGCATCCGCATGTGACAGGAACATGCTGGCTTTGCGCGAGTCCCTGCCGCTGGCTAGATTATACATTGCACCTCCTCAAACCTGGGATTTGCAGCCAAGAAACCCAATCAGGAGAGAAGCAATGCTTTTAAAAAATTATGAAGGCTTTCAAGTTTATTTGTTCTAATTACCCAGCTGACAGCTCTGGGGAGGAGGAGAAAATCATCGGGGTATTACTGCCACAAAATAGTAGTAATTGAATCATTCCAGACAATAAAGCAGAGTCGCAGGTCACAGGCAGCACATAGTTCCCTCCCGCGCCAGCCCCCCAACACCCCTCACTGCTGCGCTGCAATAAAAACACACAGATATGAGGCAACACCACTCCCAACAGTGGCCCGTTGTGGCTAATAGCTACACAAGCGTGTTCTCTGTGTCTGTCACCCGTGTGCAGAGCAGGAACCACTGAGCAGGCTTGGGGATAATTAGCTTAGGTGCTGCAGTTTGATTCCCTGCGATGTGCAAAGGCCTTTCCTTGGCGGTGGGTGCAGGTCTCCCCCAGGACACCCCACGGGAGGCTGCTCCCCAGCTCTTCCAGCCCTGGCTACAGTGACAGCACACTGGTGGTGCAGGTGGGGTGATGCTCACTGGGCAGCTGGGACATGGGGTGAGCGAGCCCCAGAGACAGCAAAGGCTCAGGGATGCTGAAGGGACCCGCCAGCTCTGCCTGTTCAGGCTCAGCCCAGCCAGAGCTCTGCCAGCCAGCCCCCCATGGCAGGCAGGGTGCTGTCACAAAAGGCTTTGCCCAGGCTGTGCTCCTGGCTAGCAGGGCCACGGCTCCTGCCCGCTTCTGAGCTTCCACCGGGCTCTGGGCTTGCCCTAGCCTGGCACAGGAAAGCCTGGACTGCGTTACTGAGAGCAAGTGCTAGAGGAACATCCCACTGCTGCAGCCGGGCAGGAGCCGGCCACATTCCCAAGCAACACCCAGAGGCAAGCTGAGGCTAGCTGAGGGGGACACGCACTGAGCAAGGGGGCACAGGAGAACCACAGCAGGGTGGGCACTCGTGAGCACTGGCAGCCCCCATGCATTGTGGTTCCCCCCTGATGTGCAGCTTGACTCACTGCAAGGCTACGGCAAGGAAACACTGGCCAAAGAGGCAGGAGCTGGGACGCAGCCCTGGCCACATTTCTGCAGGCAGCTGTGCTTGGTGCAACGTCCCCTGTTCGAGGGGGTAGAGCCTGCACCTGGCATTTACACCTCTACTCTTGGCCAGGGCTGTAGCCCACTGTCCCCATGGCTGCCTCAGGACGCAGCCAGGAGCAGACACCAGCTTCCCCGCTCCCAACTTGGTGCTTTACCAAGCACCCGCTGCCCTCCCACCACACGCACCCCCTGTCATCCAAGGCACCCCCAAAGCAGCACACACGGGGCTGAGGTTTGGGAACAGACACCCTCAGCCAGAGTGTGATTCATTAGCACTCGATACAGACCGTTAAACCCTCGCTGCATGGGCTTGCTGCCTCGGCAGCTCTGCTGGGAGCCATCTGAGGCTGCGCTGCCCTGCAGGAAGCAAACTGCTGAGTCCAGCTCTGCTAAACCCTTAATCTGGAGCAGCGATGCTGGGCAGACCCATGGGGGTGATGGCTGCGGCCCTAGCAGGGCTGCTGCCCTCCACCACTCCTTACCTGCCATCAATGTGGTAGGAAGACACAATGCGAGAAGCTGAGTGTGGGAAAACTACTGCATTGCTCGTGTTCGAAAATCAGCACCCACTGCTCTGCCTTAGCGGGCAGCAGGCAGCCCAGCCACCCCTACCGCTTCGGCCCCCCAACAGGATGGGGCAGGCAGGGCTACATTCACAAGAGTCCAGTTTAAGACATTTTTATTCCTCTGCATGTTACACTTAGTGTTTAAGAAAATACAGGATCCCTTTTGACATTCATACATTTTTACAGGGGAAAAATAGGTTTCTCTGTGAGGGTGGTTATTAAGTTTGGGCATTCCCAGGCTGACTTCAAGAGGTCCTCACCTGCCTTGGCTGCCAGGCCAACCCCCTCCGATCCTGAGCATTACTGCCCCAGTGCCCAGAGTCTGGGCCTGCAGAGCAGAGCTCATGTCATCACCTCAAGCTAAAAGAACAAAATACAGTTCCCAGTATTTCCAGTTCCACCTTCCAATAGCTCCTACACTGGATACGGCAAAGGAAGAGCTGGGGACAGGGAGCGACCAGACTGTGCAGATACAAATATCTAAGAGACCCACGTTAGTGTGTGTGACTATCTGTAACAGGGAAACAGGTTAATCTCGTTTGCTAGAAACCTAGAGGAAAGATAAATAAAGGTTCCCCACACTCGTGCATAGTCACAAACAGCTACTGGACACCAGGCTCACACTGCCTCTGAGCGCTGCCACGTGCAGAGGGAGGGCAGCAAGGCAGAGCTACTATGAAGCTCAAGGCAAGA